TAGATGAAGTGGTGAAACTTCATCAGTTGAGGTGCTTGGGACATGTGTTGCGTATGCCCAACCACGTCGAGCTTTGTTTTGTAGTGTAGGAGTAGATTGGAAGAAAGTTAGGGGCGGCCAGACCAAAACATGGCAGAAATCCATGAAGTCATTGACGAGTGGACTCAGCCATGTCGGTAGTTGTCGACTACCTGGTTGGGGTCCGCGAGATGATAATAATCGATGGTTAGAGACCTTGAACGACATGGCTCAAAATCGTTCGCAATGGCGCCGGTGCATTTATTCTTTGTGTTCTCTCAAATCCTAATCTTCTGGATTCTTCAACCCCTCTAGTTTTGACTATCTAAACTTTTCTCACTGAATCATACTTCTTGAATAATATCTTCTAATCCTAACCTCTTCGATTACTTCTAATACCTTTACTACCTCTTCTACTATTGGATTTGAATTGACAATTACATCTGTGTGCTGATGTGGTATGGCAACATGAACTGATGTACTTACGTACGAAGTTCTACGTTGCATCTGACTGACTGACTATTTGTGCATCGATTGTTTGTGTTCTCTCAAATCCTAACGTTCGGAGTTCCTCATCACCTTTATCTTTTTTAAGTTTGTTTCACTAGATTCTACTTCTTGAATAATATCGTCGAACCGTAATCTCTCCGATTACTGCTAATAGTTCTGCAATCTCTACTCCTATGGGAATTGAATTGACAATGGCGTCTCTGGGCTAATGTGGTATGGCAATTTGAACTGGTGTACGCACGTATGAAGTTCTACGTTATAACTGACTGACCGTCTGACTGAAGAGATGAAATTACAAAGATTTATAGGGAGAATTATTTTCGCCTGCTATCCCCCGCCGACCAGCATTCTCCGGCCTGCTCTGTCCTTGGCTTTCCTTTTTAGTTCTGTCCAATTTTCGTTCATTCTCCTCATGTCTATCTCCATTTCTCGGCGTAATGTTCCTTGGCCCTCCTCTTTTCTTTTGTCCTTGAGGGTTCCAAGTGTTGACGTGTTTTGTGACACAGTTGGATGATTTCTTCGGTGTGTATACTGTCGACCTTTTCTCAATTTCTTTCTCAGTTACCAGTTGCTGGTTTGTTCTCTCATACAATAGGTTGTTGTTGATGTTATCTGGTCAATGAATGAGGACAATTTTGTATAGATCACTGTTAATTAACACCTGTATATTTTGGATGATAACTTTCGTAATTCTCCAAGTTTCCATCCCATATAATTGAACTGTCTTGACGTTCGTACTGAAAACCGTAACTTTGGTGTTGGCTATCGGACAGTTGTTTAGGGTTTCATGTGTTCTTTAATTGTATAGTGTGCTGCCGTTGCTGTGTTAATCCATGCCTTCACATCTTCATCGGATCCATCTACTTTACGAATGATGGTGCCCAGTTCATTCAAGGTTTCATATCTTCCATAACTTTTCCGTCAAGTGTGATTTGGTGTGTGTATGTTGTGTTTTGTCGGAGGATCTTTCTGTTTCCCTTGAGTATGTTAGGACCTGTTCATCATCATAATCATCAATAGCAACGTAGAACTTTGCACGTAAGTACATCACTTCAAGTTGCCATACCACACATTAGCACAGAGATGCTAATGTGGTCAATTCAAATCCCATAGTAGTAAGGGTAGTAAAAGTATTAGAAGTAATTGGAGAGATTAGGGTTCGAAGATGTTATTCAAGAAGTATACTTCAGTTATGTAAATTTAGAGAAAAAGATAGAGGTTGCTTTACAGACTGCTTCTAAACTAGTCGTCTTCTCCTAAATTTGTCGCTGCGTGTGGGTTAGAAAAGCAAGATCACCTGAAAAGTCCAAATCGTCTAACTGTATCCGAGCACTCAACTGTATTCCGCGATTCCCTCTAGATGTTGACGTTTTCATAATCCAGTCGATCACCAGGAGAAAGAAATATGGTCTTCACCTCGAACGAGTCTGTTAGCTGTCCTCCGTGCACGATTCTGCAGTCTAATCCATCCTAAGACTTACGAAAGGTGTTGACTATCTTCTTAGTCATGTGGTGTGTTGAAGAAGCTTCCATGGTATCATCTTGTCCACGCAATCGAAGGCTTTCTCGCAGTCAATGAAGTTGATTTAGACTGATAAGTTCCATTCAGTTGATTATTCCACAATGATCTGGACAGCATCGTTTTTGTGCAAGGTGTATCTGATGCAAATGTGAAGGCACAGATTGGCAATGCAAGGGCTGTATTTCTAAAATTGAACAACATCTGGAATTTGAAACATTTAGCAATCAACACCAAAATCACTATTTTCAATACAGGTCTCAAGATAATTCTACTGTATGGTGCGGAAGCTTGGAGAACTACCAAAGCCATCATCCAGAAGATACAAGTATTCATTAACAGTTGTCTATGCAAAATACTTCGGACCGTTGACTAGACACTATCAACAACAACCTAGTGTGGGAGAGAACAAACCAGATTCCAGTGGAGGAAGGAATCAGGAAGAATTGGTGGAAGTGGATAGGGCAAACACATTGAGGAAAGCATCCAACTAACTGCATCACATGGTCGACGGAGAAGATAAAGGCCAAGGAACACATTACGTTGAGAAATGGAAACAGGCATGATAAGAATGAACAACCATTGAACAGAACTAGAAAGGAAGGTGAAGGACAGAGGAGTAGGTTGGAGAATGCTAGTTGGCAGCTAATTAATTGTCCATTGGGAGGTAACAGGCGTAAGTCAGTAAGTAAGTAAGTAAGTAAGTAAATAAATCAATAAATTTCAGTATTTCTTTAAACTTCATAAATTTTTCCTTTTTTTGTCTTTCATCATTGATATGTGCCCATTATTGTTGTTATAGCATTCCAACTCAATCAAATCCTATTCCAGTTACACTGAACACATCTAGTAATCCTTTACTGGAATCGACGCCATCAACTACTACAACAACAACAACCCAACCATCAACTACCACGATCATCACCACTATTGGCTCTGATTATTTATGTGATAAAACTATTCATCCAATTAAAGATTCATTATCAGTGTTCTCTTCAAATAATAATACTAATTATAACAATAATGATTTAAAATCAATCGGTCATTTTCAAGAATTACCGTCAACTAATGTTACAGCAACAACAACAACCACAACACCAACTACTACTCCTACTAGCGCTACTATTAACAATTCATATATTCCATGCGTTAAACGTTCTAGATTTTCAGATGTAAGCAATATTGAAAATAATAATAATAAAGAGAAAACTATCCCATCATTAACTAGTGTATTATGTACTATGACTACTACTACTCCTACTGCTACTGCTACGATTACTGCTGCTCATAGTGCCAGCTCATCATTGTCTATTAGTTCTGATGTAGTATCATCATCATTACCTTGTTCAATGAATGAAACAACAACATCTTCATCATCATCATCATCAGCATTATTATCGACGACTTCCAAAACTACAATCCATAATCATCCTGAACATGGTGGTCATGACATTGGAGGTGAAGAAGAAGAAGAGATAGAAGAAGACCAACGACAACAACAACAGCAGAAATTCCCTGATCTTGCTAACAATGATAACAATAGTGATAGTTGTTCTTCAGCTGATGGCGGTGATACACCGACATTAGATGAAAGACAAGATGATTTCTCGCTATTATGTAATAATAGTCATCATAAAAATCCATCGATTCTATCCTTTCATCCATCATTTAATACACCAGCA